CTCTCCGTTCTCGTCGCCGGCTTCATCACCGTCATCGTCTCCATGGTTTTCCTGAATCGTTTCAGCGAATAATCTCCACTCATCACGATCAGCTCTGAGACGTTGTTCGGCTTTCTGAGCCTTGAGTACTTCACTTCGCAGATCAGCAATCTTCTCCTCGTACTGTTCCGCGATCTCTTTCTCGATCTGACGCCTCCTTGCCTCATGGATAGAATCGTCATAGGCGACAGGGGGACCAACGAGGTCGTTGCCCTTCGTAGATGCGGTGACACCGTCGATGCCAACAGGTCTTGAGGAGCTGGCCGATGCTGTGGACTTCGATCCCAACATCCCGCGATCCCCCAAGAGTTCGCGTAGCTGTCGATCACGCACGGCTGCCGCATCACTTTTCCCATGAAATCCGCTTGGTATGCCGAACAAAGTGGCTGCACTAGGCGTGGAACGCGCAAGTGCTGGGCTGCTAATACCTGGCACGTAGTGCTCGGGCATTGCATCCGCCACGATTGGCATTGAACTGCGGCCAGTGAAGAAGTTTCCACCGGTGAATGGAATTCCATCCATCACAAGGTTCTTGTCCTTGTCCGATTCCGAGAATGCGAACTTCTCTTTGGCGACTGGACTAACTTGACTTGGGGACCGTATTTCAGGGGATCGTACCTCATCTCCTACGGAAAATGCAGGCATTACTTCCTTTCCTACGTGCTCCCAGCCAGACTCAGTAGTCCTCGAAGACATGGGCATGCTCGAAGGTCGCGTCGCTCCTCCTTGATTGGAGTTTCGCGCTGCCTCCAATTCGCTGCGTGTCCTCGCTTGAAGATCTTCTTGTGCTTTGAGCGTTTTCCTGAGTTCACTCAGCTCGTCGTGCAAGGTAGGCAATGATCGCCTTGCATGATCTTCATTCTGATGAAGTCGATCCTCTGCTTCTTGCATCCTCTTCACAGCCATTTTGCGGTACTCTTCCTCTTCACCAAGACGTTCGCGAAGCCGAAATCGTTCTTGCTCAATGGCTGCGCTGTTTCCAGCTAGCCCTTGGATCTCGTTCACAGCCCGCAACTCCTGGTTCTTGACCAAGTGGAATCGTTCCTGCATTGCTTGTAAGGCTTGTTCCGAACTTGCTGTGTTTGACCGGAGGACCAAGTTCTCTCTGGCGTGTTCATGAAGTTCATGAGTCAGACGCTCATACTCACGTGCCATAAGCTCACCATCGCCTTGCGCTCTTGCCTCCAACTGCACAAAGTTGGTGGCTGCCTCCGTGCGGAACACGTGTAGCTGTTGAGCTAACTCCTCGGCAACGGCATGTGCTTGACGTTGTTGAGCAGAGTTCTGCTCATCCATGCGAAACAAAGCTGTTTCATAGTCTCGCTTCATCTCCTGATTGACATTGTTGATGTGCCTCATGGCTAAGCATGCATGATCACGTTGTCGTTCCAATTCCTCAATGCGAATTCCAGATCCTTCATCTTCTTGTTGCATCTCCTTGATCTTGTCCATCAGGGTCTGGACGATTCCTTCGTATTCTTGCACCTGACTGCGATAGTACATCTGCTGTGCAAGGTTCGATGCTTCGAATTGTTGCGAAATCGTCAGTTCCTGGTAGGCATTCGGACCGTCGGCTATTGCAGGCGTGGCCACGGATGACGCATCACCACGTGCTGGAATCGTATCCAGAGTCATGTCCAGATCGTCAGTATCGCGTGGTTGATTGGTAACCATCCGATTCCAAGTCATGGACTTGTCACGCCCACGAGTAGCCGAAGTCCTCGATCGTGCTGAAGAGCTTCTCGAAGATGATGGTCTTGACTTCTTTTCCAAGGTCTTGACTCCTTTGTCCTTGGCCCTGGACGTAGTCCGAGGTGCCTGAAAACCAGACGCTTCGGCCCGTCGTTCTGAAGCCTTGCCCGTCCTCGAACCTGTGGATGTCGGACGCGAAGGCGTAGATGCTCTTGGTAGACTCTTTGCTTTCCCCTTGGGAACTGCCTTTGCAATGGCAAGCGCAGAAGATTGACCTTTGTCATCTTCCGTGGAGCTATCAACGGATTGCACCACTGTGTCGTCAGCTGTTGACTCACCAACGGCTGGCGCTGCCACATCGGCACCGAAAGTCATTGTCGTATCTTGGCTTGATCCTGAGTTCATTGTGGTCGTAGTAGATCAAGTAGTCGTTGCTGTAGAAAGGCAGAGCCGCGTACGGCTGATAACCTGCGTGGGGGATTGATCTCGACTTGGTTGCTGCTCTCCCCACCAGAGCTGTAATGAATGTAGGTGTGGCTGGCTAGCACTCTCCACAGACTGGACCCTGTCTCTCCCTCTTACTTCCACACGTGCAATCCTATGCAGGCAGAACCGGCGGCCGTTCCTTTTGCACTCACTGCCGGCGGCGGTTCGTCTGTGCAACGGGATAGCTCTGATTGCTCAGGATAGAAGACACATATAGCACTTAGCTATGGGCATTGACTTGAGCCAAACGTTGCGTTGGCGGTCACATAGAAAGGTAAAGATGAGGGATGCGTAGCATGCCCCCTAGAGTCGAGGGACGCGTAGCGTGCCCCCTTCTCTTGCACTTTACACGGTCTTGCTCACAGCTCTTATAGTGACACCTTAGAACTTAACAAGGCATCGCAGTCCGTTCGCAGAAACCATCCCTGGACTTTACCTCCCACCTAAACCCTAAACCCTAAACCTTAAACCCTAAACCCTAAACCCTAAACCCACCGAGGGCGAAAGCAGAAAGAGAAGATCCTCGCCTGAGTTGCCCCCTGAGCGCTTAGGGTTTGCAGTCCAGAGTTAGAGTCTAAGGTGGGGGTGCAATGTCGGGGACTCTTAATCATTACCAATACTATTTTGCTGGCTCCTTATCATCAAATTATGGGCCCCTAAGCCCTAAACCCTATCAGAATAAGTGTTCGGCTTCAGAAGTCATCCGAGTTTTCACAGGTCTTGCCATGTTGGGCCGTCACCTGAGTCCTAGGTTAAAGGTTGTGTGAGGAGTTTGCGTTAAATCTCGATGTCCTCCGAGTCGTCGTCAGGCTCATCGTGTGCGAGTATTTTTCGTGTCTGTAACATGCGCGCTGTTGAGATTTCAGGAGATATCAACTCGAGTCATGCTCAGATCTGCTGTTAGTGTGCTTTGCAGAGATTTAAACAGTCAACCTCAACAGAAAGCAAAACGTAAACCCTAAACCTATAAAGGCTTGATCAAGACATTTTATCCCTCGGCCAGCATCCAACGCGGAAGCTGCATGGTTGGTTATTTAGGTTCAGGACTTACTGTGGTTCATTGTGGTTTAGCGTTGGGGGTTTAGGCCCGGGCTTGCAGGTTCACGCGAGTAGCATGCGCATACAGCTTGCCCAGATGATCGATTTGCTTACTGGAGGATACCAGCAATACCAACTCAAACTTCAGCAGGCTTTCCTACTGCAGAAACGGTGCTGTTGCCATTTACTATGTGGATGGCTAGGACCTTTTGGATACCTAAACCCAAGACCCTTGAAGCCAAAACCCTTAACACCTAAATGCTAAATCACATCTTTGTGGTCCCGCTATACAGCCACTTATGGAACCCCGTATAGAGCCCGCTCCCAGTACTTAGGAGCCCTCGTGCCCTTCTATAGCCCTATGCACCTGTATTAATGTTGATGATATAAATCCTGCATTACCTTAGGGACCCTAAACTATGGGAATTATGGTATATTCCTTATTATGGCTAATGCAGGGTTTATATCATCAACGGTATGATAAAGTCCCCCAAGCCGCTTCTGATCCTTAGGCCCTACTTTATTCGCTGGCTAAAAGCCTTGAGATGCCTCATGCTTTAAAGGCCAAACCCTCAAACCCTCAAGCCGTACATGATCCTGGTTGCCTTAACCCTTAACCTCCAAAATTCCTAAGTTTTCAACACCCCTCAAGCTGATAGAGCTACTATAGCTCTATGTCCCCAAACTATAAATCCTTAAACCCCAGTTTTAAACCCAAAACCCCTTGGGTGGGCGCCAGATCAGCTGTTGCAGCGAGCTACAGCGTATGTGCAGAATGGCGGCCGAGCGCTTAGCGAAGTGTCCATTTGCGGATCTGTTTCTATTGTAGGGTTCAGGGTTTCTCGGGCTTACATGGTTTTCAGGTTTGGGGATATACGTGGTTTTATACGAACGCTTTGGTAGACTTTGGTCTATAGGAGCTGCTAGGGGTTTTGTACAGCTTTGACACGCTTGTGCAAGGTTCGCTTAACCCCAAGGGGTCCGAGTACCTGATAATCATATACTCTCCAAAATCCTAACCTACATAACTACTATCCTAAAACCGAGAACCTAATTTATTGGGTCCTTTGGACCCTCGGGGTAAGGTTTCGCAAAGCCTTTCGGGCTAGGCGGACTGGAGGGCTCGGGACGTTGCTTTCAGGATTCGAGTGGTTGTCAACCTTAAAGTCCCTTTTCGGGTCCTTAACATAATGCGGCACCTAATATTTAGGGTACCCCAGAAGGGACCATGATTTTGACAACTACCCATTTCGGCTTGGGGCTTCGGACTGGTTGAGAAAGTTGGGTTAGGGTTTAGGCTTTGGGGTGAGGGTCGAGATGCATCAACTTCAGGTCACAGAGATGATGACATGTACATCGGGCCCTTGTAAGCCCTCAACCTCCCAAAACATGACTCTTCAGACTACGACTTAATCGGTGTGTTACGGTTCGGGAGTTACGCAAAAGCACTCACGCAGCGTCGAACAGGTCGCAACTTACCATAAGATATTCGTGGAGGCATGGAGAGTCGACCCTGTCCCCTAAACCTCAAACCCTAAACCGGGCAGAGGGACCTGTGCTGTAAGCATGAAACTAGTGTTGATCTGAACACGAGGTCCATTCGCTGTCTTCAACGCCGCGGCTCAAGCATTTCCGCTTACGAACATACACGTTGCATGGATCATGTCCACGACAGCATTCAAGATTTCCAAGAGAAGATGTCATCGGAAATACCATTACTTTCATTTCCTTCCTGGTGACGAAGCATGGTGCTGGACTTGTGTCACGAACTCTACGTCAATGGACAAGAGAACCTCTTCTGGCAGCCAGAGAATGAGGAGCATCAGAGGCGTCGTTGGCTGGCACCCAAGGTCGAAGCACCCAAGCCCGTTTCAAAGGTGCTCAAGGCCGTCCCAGCAGTTTCCGGACTGGCCTCGACCTGTGCCCCAGTCGCCCTGACCTCCCAGCGTATCCATCGTACAACACAGCCGACAACCGTGGCCTCGTATGTTGTCGGCCAGACATCGCCCGGACGCGAGCTTTCTAGGACCTATGCGACAGCTCGCAGCATGGCAGGCTTCCGCCAAGTTCCTGCAACTGGCACGTTGTTGGCCCCAGCTGCATCGGTTCTCGAAAAGAGCCGTGTCCCGGCATTCCAGCGCAGCATCCAGCACCCAGCCGTGCCTGTGAAGCAGGTCCACCACACCGCACCACGTGTCACGATGCGGGTCTACATGCCCGTTCTGGTGCAAGCTGCCCCACAAGTCGTGCATCCAATGCCTCGCGAGACGTCGTTCCTCCGCTACCATCCTATGGCATACCCCGTCTCTGTGAACAACCGTGTCCTGAACCCGCGTGTGATCGTGCGTGCCTATAGGCTTTCGCACTGCTCCTGAAACTCCGGCAGAGGATTGGAGTCAATTGAGTTTCACGGTTCAACCCTATAAGCCCTCAAGCCAGAATGCCGGAAACCCGACAGGCTCACTTTTTGAGGTTGATGGGGATATATGGCAGAATAACGTCTCAGCCGGAGGCCTACTCGCTGTATCCATGGCCGAAAGAGGCATGGGCTTCTAGGCTCCCCAGTAGTAGCATTTAGGATACTCTGACACCGTCTAGTTTGATTTTGAGGTGGCAAAGAATACCACCGTTTATCAAAGAATACCCCTTTATCGAGGGCTTACTGGGGAGCCTTCTGGATTTCTAAGACATCATGACACAGACACTGCTTTCCTTTCACACTCGTGCTCGAAAGCGATGCCTATGAGCTCGCTGGACTTGCATGCCTGGCTCATGCCGGAAAAAGTTGGCCTTAAAAAGGTTCAGGGCAGTAGTACTGAATGTCACAATATATTTATTTAGGCCCAATTTGCCAAAGGGTTTTTTCGACCTGTAAAACTGTGCCCGATGAAAAGCCTCAGCCTGACGGGATGGCTACCTGGAGGGTCGCAGGACTTCGTCGCAAGTAGGAATTTTAGGGCTATATTTAAGCATCCCAAACCGTAAACTTTCCTAAACCCTAACTTACTAAGCCCCGTGACAGCCCCAAGCAAAGGGACAAGCTTGTTGCCTTTCAGGGTTGGGTTGAAGGGTTTGCATGCCCCTTCGATAGAAGGTGGGGTGGGGTTGTTCTTCCCTTGTTCTTCTTACTACCCCACGACCCCCCTTCTCATGTAGTTGTTCCACCCTTGTTCTTCGAAACATTCTACATTCGGGCTTCTAACAACACAAAGATGGAGGCTGTGATAGTTCAATGTACGCCATGTGTTGAAAAGTAAAGTTGAAGGTGCGGTTAGCCGGCTAGCCTACTTATAACAGCATTTGCAACCAAAATCCCCAATCTTGTCAAGCAGACCTCTCCGTTTGGCATCTCGGGCAAAGAGAGTTTAAGGTTGACGGGGTTGGGGCTATAGACGTCTAGTATACTCACGTTGCACTTTTCTATGGTTTGGGGTTTGGGAATGCGGATGACTTATTAGCATACTGTTGGTTTAATTCCATGGTGGCAGTATCTATATGGACATGAACTCAGTGGTATTTAGAACAATTTTCATGTTTTGTTTCCTCTAATCCTTAGGACGCAGCTAAAGTTGAATTTTTTGCAAGCGGTCTAAGCTCAGTATAGCGAACCCTTGATTCATAAATCCAAGACTGCAAAACCCCGGGAGCACAGGTATCGTGGTGCCCCCTGTCCTTGGTGCCAGGGGAGTGGCGACTTTGATCCAGGCCTGGGTCCGTATACACAACTATATGTTTTTCTGGGACCATGTTAACTCCACAGAGCCACGGCTCCCAAACAAGCACTGTAAGAATTGACACAACCTCTCACCTCCCTCAACGGCACGTTGTGTTGAAGGTTGTGGAGAATGGGTGTTGCAAAGTTTTGAGTGATTTCGGCTATCGGTACAGGTTGTACTTGTTTCTCAACCCTAAACCCTAAACCCTAAACCCCTAAACCCTAAACCCTAAACCCCTAAACCCTAAACCCAAAACCCTAAACCCTAAACCCTAAACCGTTCACATGGGCTGTATGGCAGGGAGCGGATCGCCAGGGTCTGGGGTTAGTTTTTGGTGGTAGATGTTCGAACTTTAGGCGATTCAAGCTTCATGGTTTCGGGATTTGGAGTTCAGAGTGTTAAGGGTTTGAGGTGTAGGATTTAGGCTTCAGTATTTGGGACCTTTACGCTTTGGGCTGCTTTAGGGTTTGATTGTGTTACTGAAGGAAAGCCTAGACCCTACAGGGATTGGGGTTTAGGGCTTACATAAGTGGTCGGAATTCGGAATGGCGATTGGTTACATTCTTCCCGAGGGCCCGGGGGCCATACTCATACGACTTCTTTAGCGCCAAAGCATATACCAAACAAGTACATAGGCTCTTATACCCTCAACCCAAAACCCGCATGGTACTCTTATGGAACCCTCAACAGAACCCCTGAAGGCCACCCCTGTGAGCACATGGAGCCGGAGGGTTAGAGTAGCAGCATGCTCGGAAGTGCAGCCAGACCCGTGAACCCCGAACCTTAAACGCCAAACCCTAAACCCCTACCTGACGATCCCAGAACTGTTTTGTGGGTTATTTCCCATAGAAATGGAGTCATAACCCACTATTATGTAGGGGTTTGGTGCTACCGGTAGAGAACCCTTAAAGAAGCCGTTGAGGAACCATCACATTTCAGTAGGAAGGCCTCCAATGTTACCCTTCCCCACGCCCTGCACCCTAAATCCATGACCTTTATACCCTGAACCCAAGCCCTAAACCCCATTTCCTACACCCAAAGCACTGAACCCTGTGAACCACGGTGCTACTCGTGGCTTGCGTCGGGCAGGCTTGCCGACAGCTGGGCACACCGGAGGCTGGAAGCTTCAAGCATGCTTAGGGCTTGGGGGTTTAGAGTTTCGGCGTTTGGAGTTTAGGGTTGTCAGGGCCGCTCACTGCTGCACATATCGATTCCTTAGTGACACGGTGACTCTTTGCAGGTATGGTGCTTTTATCTCGCACTGCAAGCCTGTCTACTAAGCATGAACCATATGCTCGCTTGCATTTATTGGGTCCTTACCCCATGAAAGTGTCCTATATAGGCATTATGTTTTGTGTCGGATTAGTCCCCAAATCAAAATAGTAACTCGAAATATAGGAATACCTGCATTCCACGCTACGAAATTGATATGTTGGACCCTTTCTTTTAAGCTTTAGGCTAAAGCATACGATCTTCACATCCAGAACAAACATCCTCTTGAGCATGTAGTCACAGACCGCAAACCTTAAACCTCTAAACCGAAGGCGTTGTTTTCAACCCAAGCCCCTGAGCCCTAGACCCGACCTGGAGGTTCATGGGTAGTTATAAGTGGGGTTACAAGTGGGATAACTATGTTATAAACCATATTCGGGGACTACTTATAACCCTACTTATAATTACCCATGAACCTCCAAGTAACCCCAGCAAGTCCAAAGGCACTTGCCTTCTTCGAGGGGGCTGGGTTTGGGGCTCTAGGGTTGCAGCTGCTCTTGTCTGGATCTTCATTCCAAAAGGGTCCAAAGACTGTGTGAGTCCCCGAAGCCCCCTTAAACCTTAAACCCTAACGCTCGAAACCCTAAAACCCTGAACCCCTAAACCCCTAAATCCCTAAACCCTAAACCTCTAAACTCCCAAACCGGAAACCCCGAAAACCCTAAACTCTAACCCCTAACCCCTAAACCCGAAAATTTAACCGCTACGCAGCCCGAGGCAAAGAGTTTTTCACTGGCCCTCCTGGGGGCTCTTTCGGCTCAGGTCAGGATCGGAGCGGTTTAGGGTTTTGGGTTCAGGGACAGCTTTTGATGTCAGCTCTTAGGGGCTTCATTGAAGAGGGGCTTAAATAATTGACTGTAGTCTTTTGGGGCTCCTTTAAAGGAGTCTCTAAGGGCTACTGTAAGGCTGTAGTATAGGGTCTCAATGGGTCTCATATAGGGTGTTGTGGGTTCCTTCCATGGATACCTTAAAGGGCTCTATAAGGGATCTATAGTAGGGTTCCATAATATATGGAGGCCCATATAATTGCCAATGCCAACTTGGTTATGGTTATGTATTGTGCAATCTACCCCAAAACCCTATTCTAATTGTTCAGACCCCTACATTAGCTAAGAGGAACTTTAGGGTTGAGACAAGGCCTTACTCAGGGACCTTACTGCTTGGGTTTAGGGATTTAGGGCTTAGGGGTCAGGGCTTATAGGGTTTGTAAGGCTTAGGGTCTACGGATAAAATGAGCTCTATTGAGTTACTTAGGACCCTTCGGTGCATGGGTTGGCGCACACAGCTTTTGGGTACGTGAAGACACTAAACTGCTTGGCGTTGTTCTGGTTGGCTCTTTAGACTTTAACTTTTGGGGTTTCTATATGACCTTTACTAAGGAGGCTAGACGTTTAAATGTTAGGAGGGATTCAGAAATCAGCCAAGACTGTGTTGAGCTAATCCGAAAGAGTCGAAGTACTCGAAGATCCGGTGTTAGACACTTTCCAGCTAGTAATGTCTTTGCACCCCAAACCGTAACTAAACCCTTTGGGAATCCCTAGAATTCCGAGCTCCCCAAAGTAGGTAATATCTTTAGACTGCAACCTGCAAAGAATGTATTACTTGTATTACTCGGAGTCTTGGGGTGACCTCAGAACTTAAACTTACGTGCCGATGTTCAGGATCTTTGGCATTTCGGATGTAGAGCAGTACGATCTGACTATTTTCGGGGTTAAGGGTTTAGGTACGAGTCGTAGGCTTTCCCTACCGATTACAACTAACGATTTGAGCTTCTGTTTTGCTTAGCGTTTCGGGTTTGGGGTTTTGAAGTTTGCTATCGCTTAAGTCCCGGGCTGTACAGTTTTAGGTTTCAGTTCTGACCAGGCACATCGTCCAACAGTCGGAAGGTCCTAGACACAACACCAAAAAGAAATATCAAGTGTACCTACAGTCTCCTTTGTAGTTCCTTCTTGTGATTCAAGCAATTTTATTACAGGATCCAAAACGGTAACCCCCAAAGGGAACTACAATGGAGACTAACTACAGGTAAAAAATGATAAGCCAAACAGGCAGTTAGGATCTTGTAGGCACTACGGAGAGTCTAGAGCTAGTGGCCTTCTAGGATTTAGGTTGGGGCGCAGTTTAAGTGTTCGGAGTTTGGGGTTAGGGTATCAGGGTTCAGGCTTTAGGCATGTAGGGCTGGGTGTTATCCAGCCTTAACCGGCACTGTGTCGAGCTAATGCGGGAGTGTCAGAAGTCCGCCGGTGATATACAACCTTCCTCTTCCACGAGAATGTGGCTCTCAAAGCTCCAGTGCCCACTCGTTTTCTTAGCATTTTCTTAGCAAGCATATGACATATGCAGTGAGCAGGCGCTAACACCTCCAATGATGCACCAGAGCAGTCCAT